GTCTTCAGCACCTCTTGCACAACTTTGTACAGAACGGCAGTGTTTGCCACTGGCCCGTTTCTGCCTTCAATCCTGGATCGTGACGGTCTTCTACAGAAGATCTGGTTCAACAACTGAAAGGATGGCTGATGGGGCTGAGCCATATAGGTTGCCAGTCCAAAATCAGCATCCCTAAAAAGGGACGCGATCATTTTGAAACAATTCCCAGTTATTTGAAGGGGTTTCCCCCACCCACCCCCAGAATTGTTTTTCAGGGTCTTTTATTTCTTCTTAGTTTAGCTTTTCAGTTTTAGCATTCTTTTGGGTTGGCTTAAATTAAAGACCGCCAGGGGTATTGTGTGACTAGATTTTAATAAAACCCAGATTGGAGGTCCAGTGAAAAGAAACGGTATTGGATATATTGGATCTGACAAAGTCAAAGGACTGTGCAATTGGTTGCATTTGACTAAACGAATCTTAAGTAGAAACATCTGTACAATCGAATCTTAAAATGCAAGCATTCAATTTATTTAGCCATCTTGCTTTGTGGGTGCATATGTGTGTACACACATGGAGACCTAGCAGTGAAGGGTGGAATAGCTCAATCACAACACTTGGAAATGATATTTGTTTTGTTAGCCACATGAGAGCTAGTATAAAATAATATAAGCAGCAAGGTCTGTGAGCTAGGAAACTCTGTGAGCCAGCTAACTCTGTGTTGGCTTGTCTGAGAACACATAAAGTAACTTTAAGCAAGCCACCTCCTCTCATCTCTTGCTGTCCCCTCCGCCTCATGTAGGATGGAGATCATCATATGCTGACTTAATGGTGACCCTTTTCAGAGTTTTCCAGGTAGAGAATACTCAGGAGTTTACCATTCCCTTCTGGGGGCATCCTGGGGCTGTGCAGTTTACCAAAGGCAACACAGGCTGGCTCTACTCACAGGAGGCACAGTGGGGAAATCAAACTGCCAGCCTCTGGCTCTGCTACCAGAGACAGTGGTGCCTCGCTAGACTGTTACCCCGCATGACAGTTTTTTGCTAGGCATTGACTTTTTGCAATCACTATAGCGATTCGCAAAACAGTGATTCCTATGGGGAAATTTCGCTGGACAGTGTTTGGTCCCTGCTTCGCAAACCGATTTTCACTAGACGACGATTTTGACAGCTCCCTCCGCGCTCGCAAAACAGGTGTTTTTGGGACCTAAGCTTCGCAAGGCAGCGATTTAAACAGCTGATCGGCGGTTCGCAAAGCGGCTTTCCTATGGCCAGTCTTCGCTAGACAATGACGATTCTTCCCCATTGGAACACATTAAACAGGTTTCAATGCATTCCAATGGGGAAAATGCTTTTCGCGAGACAATGATTTCGCTAAACAGCGATTTCAGTGGAACAGATTATCATCGTCTAGCGAGGCACCACTGTAGATAAACTACTGAGCTATCCAGTCAGAAGGAGATCTGCTTACCTTACAGTGTTTCTGTGGTAAAGTTCATTGTTATAATGTGGGTAGATTACAGTGAACTAGTGTGGAATTGCTCGTGTGGGGTAGTGGTTAATGTGTTGGACAAGATTTGGGAGATGCATGTTCTAGTCTAACCTCTCTGGGTGACTAGTTACTTTTCTCTTCAACACGACTCACCTTGTAGGGTCGTTGTTATAAATAGCAACCAGAGAGGCGCAGAGGGCTTTGTACACTGCCCTGAGCATATGAGAGGAAAAACAAAGTCTTAATATAGCCAGTAGTGGAAAAAGCAGAGTTAGAAGGTACCCAAGGATCATCTAATCTAACCCTTGTCATTGTAGGAAATCAAAAGCATGATCATCCAGCTCTTATGAAAGCATGTCCACACCTTCCGTGGTTATCTGTTTACTGTATTTTGAATAGTTCTTAACATCAAGACATTCCTCTTCCTGTTACCTTCTAAAATGCTCACCCGCATTTCTGGCTTCAGTTTTAGATCTTAACAGAGGTCCAGTTCGAAAATCTGGCTCTGTTAATTCAGGCCTGAACCCTCGGGGCAAGAGAAAATGATCTTGCTCTACCTCAAATGTGACAAGCCCTCACTTATTTGAAGATGGCTGTGATACCACCAGTCTGTCTGCTCCAGGCTAAACAGGCCCAGTCCTCTCAAGCATTCCTCGAAGGAGTTGGTTTCCGGATCATTTATCCATCATAGTTGCCTTCCTCTGGACACATTCCAGCTTGTCCATATCCTTCTTAAACTGTAGTGTCAGAACTGGACATAGTCTTCCCAATGAGGTCTAACCAAAGCAAGATAGAGCTGTGGTTCTCAACCTTGGGCCTCCAGATATTTTTTTTTAAATTTATATGCTGCCCACACTACCCAAAGGTCTCTGGGCGGCTTACAACATTTAAAATACAATAAAATTTAGAACAATTAAAAATTTAGAACAATTCTTGGACTACAATTCTCAGAAATCCTGGCCAGAACTGCTAGTGGTGAAGGCTTCTGGAAGTTTTAGTCCAGTAACACCTGGGGATAGAGGGTACTACTGCTGTTTCTCTTGATCTTCTCTAGAGATGGGCGCGAACTGCCGAAGTGGGAGATTGTACTTGTTCGTTTTTCAGCTGAACAGTTTGTTTTTTGCACTTCCCAGCCCATACAGAGGTAGCACCCAGAGAACCTGGGGTGCTGCCTCTGAGCGGGGAGCAGGAGGTGGGGCTGGGAAACGGCAAACACCCATTTATTTATTTATTTGTTGGATTTCTATCCCGCTCATCTAGCCCAAAGGTCTACTCTGGACAGTTTGGCCAAAAAATGAACTGGCACAAACTACAGTGGACCCTCTACTTACGGAATTAATCCGTATTGGAACGGTGGCTGCAGGTCGAAAAGTCTGTAGGTCGAGGCTCCATTGACCTACAATGCATTGAAAACCGATTAATCCCGTAACTGGCCGTTTTTGTTCCATTTTGATTTTTTTCTGGTCTGTAGGTCGAGTCTCAGGCTGCAAGTCGAACCTAAATTTTGCAGCCAGAGAAGTCTGTAACTCGAAAAGTCTGTAAGTCGAGCCGTCTGTAAGCTGAGGGTCCGCTGTACCAGTTCGGCAGTTTCTGCCTATCTCTAAACTTGACACTGTACTTTTATTGACACAGCATAAATATTTGGCCACCGTCCCTCACATCGGTGATTCACATTCTGCTAGTGGTCTACTAAGAATCCAAGATCATATCCTGTGGAAACTCATTCATTCATTCATTCATTCATTCATTCATTCATTCATTCATTTACTTACAATATTTTTTAGCCGCACCATTGCCAGTACATTTTGTTCATGTAGACCTAAACTCTGTAATCTGTGGTGTAGTCATCTTGAGTGTGGAGTTTGTTCTATGAGGTATTAATTGCAACTCACAGTTTGGTGGCATCTGCAGATTTGATAAGCATCCCTTTTATTCCTTCCTCTAAGTCACTGTATGCGTTATTTCTACCCCAATTGAAAAAGGATTTTAACTAAAAGCTTTAAATTGGGTTTTAGTGAAAGGTGTTTTTTTTTAAAACAGAAAAGGCTTCCTCCAGTGGCCAAATTTTGAAACACATTGGGAGTTGCGGGCCCGAGAGGAGCTGATGGTTGTGACCTGTGTCAGTGTTCACGAACACTTGAGGTTTAGGCTTCAGGCACAGGGTGGATTTGATTTAAATCAAATCAAATCGATTTAAACCACTAGTCAGTGAGCATTTTATTTCAAAAATCCAGTTTAAATCAAAGAAAACTTTGTAGTTAATCAGTTTGATTTAAAGCAAACCTACCCTGCTCAGGCACCAACACGTCCTGATCCCCTCACCTGTTCAAGGAAAGATGTGCTGTACATCTTCCCCCACCTTCCCTCTGGCTTTTTGAGCTGCTTGGTAGAAACTAGAGGCTTAGAAGGGCGGATGGTATTTTCCTTGGCTTCAGGCCACTTTTGCCTTCAGCCTTGCTTTAAAGGAGAAAGAGAGAGAGAGAGAGAGAGGGGTGGGGATGTAACAGAACTGGAAGGGTTGCTCTTCCAGTGTTGCTGGCTGTGGTTTCCCCCGTGGCCGCCTCTGCCTCCCTCTCAATCCTTCTTTGTAACTTGTGGCTTTGTTTACAGCGGTTTTTCCAGGGGTTTACTTTTTGGTCAGGCTCTCCCAGCAGGGCTTGGTGCTGCCATCGCCAAATGTTGAACCAGCCTGCCATCGCTCTCTTGGGAACCGCAATAATTAGCCCCACGATCCTGCGATTTCGTGTGGATCATTTCAAAACTTCTACCCGTTGCACAGTTTTAATCTGCAGGGCGAGCTCGGAATATTTACCCCCTCGCCTTGCCGTGCGGGTCACTGAATCTGCTTAGAGATATCTTGGGGATTCTGGGAGTTGCAGTCCAAAAAACAACTGATTTATTTGTAAGAAAAAGCATTTGAAAGACCAGCTCCAGTCGGCCGGCGGTGGCTCTTTTTTCCCTCTCTTGGCCCGTTGACTGTCCTCCTCGCTGCCTTTGTTTCGGTGTTGTGCATTTGCTGTGCTAAATATACACGGAGCTTCTATTCCAAAAGCTTCACCTGCTAAATATATATTCCTGGGGTGCTTTTAAAAGGGAAAAAACTAGGAGCACCTTTTTTAAAAGGGAGCCCCCAGAGTGGATGGCAGTGTGTGTTTGTCAGGAGACCTCCTTCTATGCCCAGAGGATTTCTTCTTTGGCTCTACTTTCCTTGGGCCCCTCAGGTCTTCCCCCCCCCTCCTCTTTCCTCTTCTCTCTCCCCCACCCAAAAATATCTGTTGTGTCTGCCAAAAATTGCTGCCCCCTTTCCCGGAGCCTGTTGTCGCCATAGCAACGACCTAGCCGTGACCTAGTCTCCTGCCAAGCGACAAGAGAGGAAGGAGGCACCCGAGGGGGCGAGGAAAGGGGTGGGTGGGGGGAGCCCACCAAGGAAGGAGAGGCTGAGGAGGAAAAGTGGGGCAAGTCGTGGGGGGGAGGACGAGCGCGCGAGCGCCGGCCACTTAACTCTTTCCTCTTCTGCTCGTCTCCCATGTCAGGACTCAGCATCCGAAGTTCCCAGGAAGAGGAGCCTGTGGACCCCCAGCTGATGCGCCTGGACAACATGCTGCTGGCCGAGGGGGTGGCTGGACCCGAGAAAGGGGGTGGCTCGGCAGCTGCCGCGGCAGCCGCAGCAGCGGCAGGGGGGGTGTCCCCCGATAACTCCATCGAACACTCCGATTACCGCAACAAGCTTTCGCAGATCCGCCAGATCTACCACTCCGAGTTGGAGAAGTACGAACAGGTCAGGAGATGATTTGCAAAGTTTGCAGCACATCGGTCTGTGTGCAGGAGAAGCCCGTGGCGGCGGGGGGTGGGGTGGGGAGGAGAGCTTTCCCATCCACCCCACACAGCCAAAGGAGAAGCCCTGGTACCTCCCCCCCCATGGAGCTACTGGCTGATAGCCAGTGCAGCCCTCCGCCTCCCACTCACCCTGCTTTAAAAAAAAAAAAAGCACCAGTTCTCCTTTGGCTGGCTCTTTTGTGGGTCTGGTGAGGTTGGGGGGGAGGAGAAGCTGCCCCAGTGAGTGAGGAAGGAGGGGATGGAGGAGGAGGAGGAGGGAGGCAGGCAGGCAGAGCAAGGCAGGTCCACTGTGGGATTTCCCCACCGACAAAGCCACGCAGTTCACTATTCTTAGCATCTGGCCACCTGAGGAAGCTGCCTCGTTGCACTTACTGTAACGATAGGGCAGCCCTGTCTGTCCCTGTTGATTTTTGTGCCTTAGGCCAGTGGTCCCCAACCTTGGGGGCCTCCAGATGTTCTTGGACTTCAACTCCAAGAAATCCTGGCCAGCAGAGGTGGTGGTGAAGGCTCCTGGGAGTTGTAGTCCAAGAACATCTGGAGGCCCAAGGTTGGGGACCACTGCCTTAGGCTCCTGGGAGACTAAACAAACTTCTCATGACCCCTGGCTTATGATAAAAGTAGGTTTCACAAAATTTGGGCTTGCCTTCTTGGGCGAATCTTGCATCCCCACATTCTGTTAAGAAAGAAACTCAGATGTTCTTAGAATTAAAACAGCATAATAAGGTTGGGATAATACTTGTTCCCCTTGCACATTATCTGTGTGGACTGAGTTACACACAGTTCTACCCCCCCTCCTGCTCCAGCTCACACCCCGATGCTGTGCTCCTCAAAGATTGCAGGAGAATATTTGAATAAGGAGAGCCGATTGAAGTGGTTTTGGTGCAATCTAGATTCATATATCCATTTATGAACTTCTGGACAGTATTTATATACCATGCTTTCTGTTTACTGTGGTTTTCAAAGCCTTGTAAAATTATATTACATCCCCATAAAATAATAACCAATTAAAAGCCAAGAAAGAAAAGGAAGGGATTTGGAGGAGAGCTGCAGAAAAGGCCCTTTCCTGTGTACCTGTTAGCAAAACCTGGAATAAACAAAGAGATCTCATGAAGAAGATATATACAGTACACACACAGAGATACATACAGAGATTCCTCCAGATCCCTTCCTCAGAGACTTGTATTGAAGTTTATGGGCAGGCTCATATAGGAGGGAGTAGCCCTTCAGAGATGATAGGTTAAAACCAGTTCAGGTTCAAGATACCGTTTTTAAAGGACATGCCACACAAGAGTTTTGCAGTAGCCTGACGTTGCAGAACTGTTTCACTGATCATTGCTGAGGAAGGACAGCAATCCCCTGTGTTCCAGTTTTCAATTGTTGGCTTTTCACTGATCATTGCTGAGGAAGGACAGCAGTTCCAGTTTTCAATTGCTGGCTATGAGTTCAGGTTCTTATTCTTCTCGCCCTCTCACTGGCTGCCTCTCTTGCCTCTCCGCAGGCCTGCAACGAGTTTACAACACACGTGATGAACCTGCTGAGGGAGCAGAGCCGCACCCGCCCCGTCTCGCCCAAGGAGATTGAGCGCATGGTCAGCATCATCCACCGGAAATTCAGTTCCATTCAGATGCAGCTGAAGCAGAGCACGTGCGAGGCTGTCATGATCCTGCGCTCCCGCTTCCTGGATGCCAGGTGGTTATTTTGTTCCAAGGATCTGTACAGCTCTTGGCTGGCCGTGTTCACCTAGCGAAACATTTGTGGGTGGCAGATCCACTCCTTTAGTGGCTTGATTGAGATCATCTCTTCCACCTTACAGCCAAGGAACGCCTCCCACTCTTTTTGCTCTTAGGAGGGTAGTCTGGCTTTAGCCAGGGTTTACCAAAGAGGTCAAAGTCCTGGCTGTGGCAGGAAAAGCAGTACAGTGGTGCCTCGCATAACGACGAATTTGTTTAACAACGAATCCGCATAGCAACACATTTTTTGCGATCGCATTGCGATGTTTAAAAAACAGCTAATCGGTGGTTCCAAAATGGCCACCGGATCAGCAAAATGGCCGCCTTCAGCATTTTCACGCCCTGCCTTCTTTTACCGGGCAGCGAAAATGGCGGCCGGATGGGGGAATCTTCGCTTACCTGTGAGTTTTCCCCCCATAGGAACGCATTAAACTCTGTTTAATGGAGTTTAATGCGTAACGGAGTTTAATGCGTTACTATGGGTTCCCCCCCCCCCGCATAGCGACGAATCCGGATAGCGACGTTTCCGGATAGCGACGTTAATCCTGGAACGGATTAATGTCGCTATGCAGGGCACCACTGTACTGCCGATCAGCAGCTAAGAAACTTCACTGACCGCTCTTCCCCAGAGGAGGAGAGGAGTGGGGTGCTTGTTTGTACATGCCCAACATGTGGCCAAAGTACCCCCAAACTTCTTTCCGTCCATGCCGCTGAAGACAGTGCATGCTCTTGTCTGCAGCTATAGAATGAATTAAGATAGGAGGAAATGTGCTGCTTGTCACTGTCACCGGAGGGGCTCATACCTTATTTATGCATTAGCCTTCAGTAATGTATCCAGAGTGCTTCACATAACCTACATACACAGAGACTTGTGTCTATAAATACGTATAGAGAAATATGATTATTAATAAAAGAGCAGTTTGAAAGAGAGAGAGAGAAAAAATCCCCAGCAGCCTAAAATGTTTCATCACAACAGCAGGCTTTGGTAAATAAACAGGTCTGCCTGTCTTAGCAGAGATACCAGTGTAAGTACCAGGAAAACCTCCATGGGGGAGACCGTCTTCTAAATTAGTGGGTTCCAACCTTTTTGACACCAGGGACCGGTTTATTGGAAGACCATTCTCCTAATAGAACCTAACAGGGGCGCAGGGTCCTATGAGGTTCTAATGGGTAAATAAACAGGTCTGCCTGTCTTAGCAGAGATACCAGTGTAAGTACCAGGAAAACCTCCATGGGGGAGACCGTCTTCTAAATTAGTGGGTCCCAGCCTTTTCGACACCAGGGACTGGTTTATTGGAAGACCATTCTCCCAATAGAACCTAACAGGAGCGCAGGGTCCTATGAGGTTCTAATACCACAGGCCCAGTTGATCCAGCAGCAGCAGAAGGGGTGTGAGGCTCCGCCTCCTGTCAGATCAGAAGTGGCATTAGAACCTGATAGGAGCACGCTGACAGGAGGCGGAGCTTAGCTCGCCGCTCGCCTCCTGCTGGCCACTCATCTGTCCCAGCAGCCCGATCCTTCCAAGGCCACAGACCGGAACCAGTCCACGGCCAAGGGGTTTGGGACTCCTGCCCTAAAAGGGGTTTAGCATCCCACACTACTTCACAAGTTCCAGCCCGCCCCATCTTGAATGGTCTTATCAATGGCCTCTGGCTTCTTATGCAGCCTATGGATCGGAAACAATGGATGTTAGGGCATTGGGTTCCAATGGAGCTACCCAACCTGTATGAATTATTGATTTTTTTTTATTTTGCCCCCTGAGCTTTTCTGCATAATATCTTCTGCCTTTGCAATGGCAGGAGCAAGATAGCAATTGAAAACAGCATCCATGGGTCCTTTAAATCTTGCCAGTCATTTCTGTGGCTTCTGAGATGACACGGAATCTTGCCAAATATTTTCTGGGAGAAAAATTGCAAGAGTTTTGATTTAAAAAAAATAAATTTAAAGGTGAAGAAGATTGGCAAATTCTACACACAGGTCACACTGTCAGGTATTTTAGCAGTCCCATGAAATACATATGCTGTAACTTCAGTTACCGGCCTAGTCACTGAATTTGTATAGTGTTGTGAATTTTTACACTGATTTACACAAATGATTGGTTACACATGTAAATTTGCCTTCTATTCAGTGGTTCCCAGTCTTGGATCCCCAGATGTTTTTGGACTACAAGTCCCAGAAATCCTGGCTAGCACAGCTAGTGGTGAAGGCTTCTGGGGGTTTTAGTCCAAGAATATCTGGGGACCCAAGATTGGGAATCACTGATCTATATTGTGAACTGGCATGACTGAACCCAGAGGCTGGGAAAGCTACTTTTGGGGCCCAGAATTCTCAGTATTTTTCTAACCAACATGGTCAGTGACCATGGAGACTGAAGATTCTGGATTTTATAGTTTCTTTTGAAAAAGTAACATTTTGCTAGTTCTGCTTGTACTTTTCCTGAACGTATAACCCTGCTTGAATGATCCTCATTCTCTCTTGTTTCCCCTGCCCCACTCTCCGATTTTTATTTCCTTTCTCACCATGGCCTTCTCCTCCAAAACGGCTGCCTTTCCTCCTCCTTCCCTGCCTTTTCCCGATGCACCCTTTGGCCCACTGCTTTTCTGTTCTTCACAGGCGGAAGCGACGCAATTTCAGCAAACAGGCCACCGAGGTGCTCAATGAATATTTCTACTCACACCTGAGCAACCCGTACCCCAGCGAAGAAGCCAAGGAGGAGCTTGCCAAGAAATGTGGCATCACCGTCTCACAGGTACCAGTTTGTGTGTGGAGGCCAGTCCGAGGTTAGGCTGTCTGGGCCCCATGGGATTAGTCTCTGGGATAGTAGGAGCAACATGGGAGAGAGGGCTGGCTTTGGGGGAAAAGGTGTGTTTTTTTTAAATTATTATTATTATTTGGCTGACCTGTCACTACATAATTCCCCTCCTCCCTTCCCTCCCCTCCCCTTGTTTTCCCTCATTCCCCTTCCTGCCCTCGCCTCCTTCCATTTTGGTCTCCCTTTCCCCCTGATCTCCCCCTTCCCCTCCCTCCCTCCCTCCTTCCAGGTCTCAAACTGGTTCGGGAACAAGCGCATCCGCTATAAGAAGAACATCGGCAAGTTCCAAGAGGAAGCCAATATTTACGCCGTGAAAACGGCGGTCAGCGCCGCACAGAGTGGGGGCGACTCCCCCAACACCCCCTCCTCCGCGGGTAACTCCCCTCCCCCACAAACAAAAACTCCACTACACCCCATGTTGGTGCAGGAGTCCTCGCAGGGATTGGAGACACAGGCAGAACTCCAGCCTCCAGCCAGATCCCTCCGCTCCCACAGAGCCCTATCCTGTTCCTTACAGACAGTGCCCCTTACTGGGTGCAGAAGGAGTAGGCGCCTCCCTTCCCTTCCCCACTCCCCCCAACCACCAAAGTTTGCGTCCCCTTTTTGGCCTTGGAATAGCCATGGTTTTCCTTCTGTAAATAGATTCGTCTGGCTTGCTCTCTCCAGCTAGTCCTCTTTGCACTGTTGTTGCTAATCTTTCATTTGTTATAGAGGAGGACCTGTGTTTTCCCACCTCATTCACCCTACTACTGTCTTCCCCCCCACCTCCAAAAACCCTTCTTCTGTTTTCTGGCAGGCTCTGGTGGATCCTTCAATCTTTCCAGCTCTGGGGACATGTTCATGGGCCTTCAGGGTCTAAATGGAGATTCCTATCCTACATCCCAGGTCAGTTCTCCTTCCTTCCCTTGGCTAAACAGCCCTCTGTTCTTTCATGGTGGAGATGAAAGCATGCCCTTATGACAGGTATAGGGACGCTCTGGCCCATGTGCTCTGGTGGGTCCAGCTTTGGACTACCTCATCCCACTCACGGATACCTTTGGGGAGCCTCCCCTCCCTTCCTATGTCTTGCACAGAGGTGGGGACCCACTGGGCTAGGCTTTCCAGTAAACCATTTCTCTTTAGTTTTCTGTCTCCTGTCATCCCTGTGCTTTCAAGGGAAGAGGCACACACTCAGAAACTGTGCATTCCAGAGGCCTGCTCAGTCTGCCACTGTCCTTGGTATTGTTTCCCATTCTAGGTGGAATCGATGCGTCACTCCATGGGTCCTGGGGGCTACGGGGACAGCATGGCTGCTAGCCAGATGTACAGTCCACGAGAAATGAGGGTGAGTTTGAGCCAGATGAACACCTCATTGTCACAGAGTGGATAACTTTCTGGTGGGGCTGTTCCACTTTGGGCGGCACTGCAGCACTCACCTGAGTCAATAAGACCATGCAATGGCCTAGTAAACATGAAACTTGTTTGTTTTGTTATGTTCCCACTTGTGTGACTGCTAAACAAACCAGGAAGTATTTGTGTTTAGTATACTGTCTTCATCAGCTAGGGCCATAAACCAGGATTTATGATGCTCAGCTCATGTTGAAATACCAAAATAAGAGCCCCAGTTTGGACAATCGGTCATACAAAGCATTTCCAGGGGTTACACAATGGAAGGTTGGCAGAATGGATGCTATGGAGTTCAGCTCATTCATAGGAAAGGGAAGGTTCTCCACAATTCTGATCTAGTTGCAAGTGAATACAATTGTTGCCATTGAATGTGGATGTTCCATTCAAATGACAGGGCCCATAGATTATTACATACCTGTCCCTGTGTAAATTTGTGTGATCTTGTTCTACAAATGGCTTCAGCTAATGGCCATGCCCACGTCTGAAGCAGGGTTTTTTTGTATAGGAAGTATAGGCCTTGTTCTAGGTGAGTGAAATGTAGGTTCCTGTAGGTCACCTTTAAAACAGGTGGACCACCTCAAAGAAACTAGACTGGAGATCATAGCTAGTTGGGTCACTGGGAAGGATTTAAACTCAAAATGTTTGGAAAAGATCTTCAAATCCTGAAGCACAAGGAACTGGATATCTGATTCTGTGATGTGTGGGCTTTAACGTGTTAGGTCAAGGACAAGATGTCTGGAAACCAGGAATACTGAGGACACGAAATTATGAAGCACAAGGAACTGGATATCTGATTCTCTGATGTGTGGGCTTTAATGTGTTAGGTCAAGGACAAGATGTCTGCAAACCAGGAATACTGAGGACACAAAATTATCTTGTTCTCGTGCCTCACTTTACGATTGCCCTGCATTACGACAAAACTGCATTACGATGATCTTTTTGCGATTGCAATTGCGATCGCAAAACGAGGGTCTAAATGGAGTTTTTTTGCTTTGCGATAATCGGTTCCCTGCTTCAGGAACTGATTGTTCGCAAAACGATGATTTTAAAACAGCTGATTGGCGTTTAAACATGGTCGCCGGGTAAACAAAATGGCTTCCTGCTGTTATCTGGGACGGATTCCTCACAAGACAGGCAGCGAAAATGGCTGCCCTATGGAGGATCTTCACTGGACGTTGAGTTTTGACCCCATTGGAACACATTGAAGGGGTTTCAATGCGTTTCAGTGGGGTTTTTTTCCGCTTTACTATGTTTTCGCTTAACGGCGATTTTCCTGGAACGGATTATCGCCGTTAAGCAAGGCACCACTGTATGATGAGATACAATAGAAATGAGCTGGAAGAGAGGTTGAGAGTTCATGCTGAGCCTTAATGCTCTATTTGAAGTCCGGATGCTGATAAATTTGGTGTCAGTGGCTTCTCCTGGATTTCCTTGGCAGCTGTTTTTCTCTCTCTATAGAAGAACATGAGTGTATTTGAAGTAGAGTTAGGACTCTTCAGAAAGGAACAGGTTCAGTTGGTTGGAACTCGCATCCGTGCAAGGGCATAAGAAGTGGCACTGGATATTCACCCACTGCTTGGAAAGACGAATTTATCACTCTTTCTCCTCTTTTCCCTAGGCCAATGGCGGCTGGCAAGAAGCAGCCACCCCCTCCTCTGTGACTTCCCCAACAGAAGGTCCTGGCAGTGTCCATTCCGACACCTCCAACTGATTCTGCCATGCCATCCCCTCACCCCACCTGTCTGTTTCATCTTCCTTCTGGCTCCGGGGGAGAGAAAAGTGACCAGTGCTGAACTCAGCTGGCAGAGAGAGAACTTTTTTTTCACCACCAGGAGATGCAACCCAGTGCCGGGGGTGGGGATGGGGGTGGGGTGGGGAAGGAAATACAGAACAGCGCCTCTAGGGATTTGAGGTGGAGGGTTTCCATGGGGAAGATAATCCAGGATGCACCCGGCATGATCCAAGACAATGTTTCCATGATCCTGAATGGCGCCTCTAAACAACCAAGAAGCAACTCTAGAGAAATGGTGAATGGGAACCCAGTGTGGTGGCCCAGGTGGGGGGTGGGGGGCAGGCAGGAAAGGGGATGTCCCAAATGGCTTTATCTGTTTGGAGGGGTTGTGGGAATAAGCTAAAGTGGTACCTGCAATCAGTGTCAAAATCTGCTGGATCCATCTCCCAGAGAACATCGGCCTGAGAGAACTAAGGTGGCAGTTCGCTGTGTATCATGGGCTGCCACCCAAAATACCAGCTTTTTGACAGGTCTCTTGTAAGATGAGCAAAGATGTTGGCTGAACAGGGCTCAAGCAGACACACCTCTCCACAACGAGATGATTCCGAGTTAGCAAACTGCGGTGTCTCCCTGCCAAGATTAAATAGGATGTGTTAAAAAAAAAAAGGAAAGCAGTCAGAGACACGGATCCAGATTGACATCTGCTCCGCTGGTGAAGGACAGCAGCTTCCCTTCTGGATATATCTATCTAAAGAATCTGGATATACAAAGTGCCGTTTCGCTCCAGTTGTGGCACAAGATTGTGAGGAGTCCACGTGTTCCCCTTTCCCTAGGATGAACAATCCTGTATGCCGCTCCTTTTGGATAATTTCCCTGGGTATGAAGATGGCTGCCATCTGAATCGGAAAGGGGATGCTTATCTGGATCACGGTCTTGATCAAAAGTTGCTAATGCTGCCCCTTCATGGGGAGTGGTGGGGTGTGTGAATTGAACATAATATGGTACCTTGATCAGAAAGACAATGGGTGGTAAGTTTCCAAGATGGCAGTTCAAGGTACGAGGGGAGGGGAAGTATTAATAAGCACAAGCTTCTAACCTCCTCTTGTGCAGGACTGGATGCATTGGGATACATTTTGGGGGAAGCCAATGGGCTGAGTGAGCCCAGCTCACCCTAAATCTTACATACTGTGCTTCAGTTGTGAGTGGGGGGTCTTGACTTTTCTTTCCCATTTGTTTCTGCTTCCTTTCTCTGCATTTACATTTTATCCTGTTTTGTTCCTTTCCCGTTCCATTCTGACTCTTTCTCTACTTGGGAACTTCCCTCCCTGTTCATTTTCCTCCACTTCCTTTCCCACATCACCAAGCTAGGGCTTTTCTGAGCAATCCAACAAAACACAATCAGCCTGGTTGTGAATGGCATGTCCTCCTCTGCATGGAGAGTTGTGCAGGAGGCCCTACCTCAGGCAGAACAGAAGAAAGACAAAGTTAGACTACAGAAAAAGCGAATTCAGAAAACGGCATAGGTGTAGGTTGGGTGACTTGTCGTTAGCTGGGCTTTTATAGCCTGTTGGTGCCAGTGGCTGTAGCAACTGAGATGCTGTGGCTTGCGGTCAGATTGTTACAGTAAAGGCATTAGTGCACTTAAAATGGTTTCCTAAAACAAAGAAACAGCAGTAACTTTTTCCCTCTAGTTTCAGTGGAAGTCTTTCCTCGTGGAGCTTATATTTGCATTGGGAGGAAAAGATACCATTTCTAGAATCCATTTGATGGAGGAATTTTTATTAGAGCCACAACCAGGAAAGGGAGGGGGTGTTGAATTAAAATCCTGTTTCTTGCCTTCCACAGCCCTGATTGATTGCCGTTGCTCCAGTTTTGTTTTAAAAAAACACAATCACACTAAATTAATAATGCATTTAATGTCATGCTTGCTTTAAAACTGTCTCAAGGCTTCATGTCTTGGTGGGAAGATAGAAACAGTGAACAAATAGCAAAGATAGGCATTGTGCCTGCTACTAACAAATGCCTTGCACAGGTTAGTTACAATTGGTGGTATAGGGAAGGTGGGGGATCATTAGGGCGTACTGTCTGTCAATATAAGGTGAGGAAAAGACGGCAGAGGCTTGAGCCGAATGATTGCTATGGGACATGTCCCAGGACTCTGTGCTCATGGTAAGGACTTTGTGACATGTGCATGAGCAGTCCTTGGAGTTAAAAAAATGCATAGAAACCACTACAATGCCTGAGAGGAAAATTGCACTTTGCCAGGAACATATTGTGTTTCATTGTTCTGGCAACACAATACCCTTGCAGATAGAAAGTATTGTCGTGAGAGAAGGCATGTGGGCTAAACACAAAATTAGTAGCACATGTCATTTGTTCTGTGAAAAAGCTACCCATACCATGATTGTGCAGAAAAGCTCTAAGTGCACATTCAAATTTCTCCTTCCATTTTGCTCTTAGCCTCAGTAAGAGGCGTCTTGGTGGAAAACAAAGGACTTGAATACACCAGAAAAAGTCATTTATGGTAATCCCATCTTCAGTTATTTTCTCTCTTTCTCTCTCCCACTCTCTGCATTTCAAAACAAAGGGGGACGTGACTGGTTCTAGAGAACCAAATATGACTCAATTTCAGTAGAGGGTATAGTTCTGTGAGATATTTTCCTTCACAG